TCTATCTATATGGTATTGAGCACTGTTTGTGTTTCGTAAACCAAAATCTTAAGCTATATATATATATATATATATATATATATATATATATATATATATATATATATATATATATATATATATATATATATATATATATATATATATATATATATATATATACAGGGTGTATCAAAAAAAGTAAGACAAGTTTGAAATTGCTCTCAATTCCACAATTCTTTTCATGAAAAGTAATGTTTTATATGTATGGATTGCTTGAGTTCTTAAATTATGGAAAATATAAAAAAAATTTAAAATAGTAAATTTTGCTATCCAGGGGGGTGGTCAACTTTTGCTCTCCTAAAAGTGGCTTGCGCACGGAAATGACAAACGGTATTCTTTATTTGAGTTCATGTATGAAAAGTTCGCTATTTGTTGCATGTATGATAAAATTTCGGCAGAATTTTACCGAGTACAAATCCTCCAAAGAGCCTATGAAAACGTTACATTTTTCTCTGTTGGTGCTGTTCTTGCTTCATTATGAATTCATTTTTACTCCCATGAGAGTTCCGTGGAATTTCCATGGAATTTGTGCTTTTGAGTTGTTTGTACTGAAACGCATTCTCTCGTATAATACCCCCGTACACTTTGAAATGGCGATGCCACAATTTACTCCGCAGCAGGGAGCTTTTATGGTATCAGAGTTCCTCCGTAGCAACAACATAAACTTGGTTCGCCAAAGTTTCACGAACGAATATCCAGATGTACGATGCGGTCGATGCCCTTCACGTATTCGCACGTGAAGGGCATCGTACATCTGGATATTATACGAGAAAATGCGTATTATACGAGAAAATGCGTTTCAGCACAAACAACTCGAAAGCACAAATTCCATGGAAATTCCACGGAACTCTCATGGGAGTAAAAATGAATTCATAATGAAGCAAGAACAGCACCAACAGAGAAAAATGTAACGTTTTCATAGGCTTTTCGGAGGATTTGTACTCGGTAAAATCCTGCCGAAATTTTATCATAAATGCAACAAATAGCGAACTTTCCATACATGAACTCAAATAAAGAATACCGTTTGTCATTTCCGTGCGCAAGCCACTTTTAGGGGAGCAAAAGTTGACCACACCCCTGGATAGCGAAATTTGCTATTTTCAATTTTTTTTATATTTTCTATAATTTAAGAACTCAAGCAATCCATATATAGCAAAAATTACATTTCATGAACAGAATTGTGGAATTGAGAGCAATTTCAAAATTGTTTTACTTTTTTTGATACACCCTGTATATATGAATATATATATATATGAATATATATATAGAATAAATATATATATATATATATATATATATATATATATATATATATATATATATATATATATATATATATATATATATATATATATATATATATATGCATTGTCTCGAAGTTCATCTGGGAATTAAAGGAATCCGACACAGCTTACGCAATCGAGTGGAAAATCCTTAAGCGTGCAAATGCTTATAGGAGTGGAGGAAAGATATGTAACTTGTGCCTATCCGAGAAAATCTGCATTTTAAATGCAGATAAACAATCACTACTGAATAAAAGATCAGAATTAATAGCTAAGTGTTGTCACGAAAGGAAATTTTATACGCTTATAACTACAATCCACCGTAAAAGCACTTTAGTCTGATGATCGCCTTTGTGCGTGAAACTCGAGTAACTTTTATCGTAAATAGGTTTAGGTTTTATTAAATTATCTTCAGATATCATGTCTTAGTCTACACTAATAATAGTTTTGCTCTGCAAAATCTTACCTGCATTGAGCACTCTTCAGATACGTGTCAGCATCGACAAACACGATATATATACACATATATATATATATATATATATATATATATATATATATATATATATATATATATATATATATATATATATATATATATATATATATATATATATATATATATTGGAAGGTTTTTCAAGAAATTGCCAGACAGTGGTGCGATATCACATCTGCATCAGCATTAAGTTCGGACGGAGCACATCAGGTCACATTGTGATTGTGTTCACCAGTCTACACTGGGTTGTACATCTTTGCTTGCTCATATACCAAGGAAAATGACCCGATTTAGATTATTTCATTCCAAGTGTATAACAAAACAAACCATAAATGTTTTAAAAACAGAACAATGTTTTAAAACTCATATCATGCATGCATTAGAATTATTCAATACTTCAATTGTAACAAAGACGTGCGCCAACTGAAATACAAATAATTGTTTTTGTTTGTGGAAACACCACGTAAATTTATTACTGCAAAGCTTTCAATCCGTAAGCCCGGATCTTCATCAGTGCTAATAATATCACAGAGTAGATAAGACATACAGAGACGTAACTCATGACCGTTGTAAACACTGCGGAAGATTACGTTTTCATGTACCCACTTTTTTTCAGGCGACCGGGCGAAAAATGATCAACTGCGCGTGCTCAGCAAGTTTAAAGTGAGTCGTCATCAGGTCGTCATCCAATCAGATGCATGCATCTAGTAACTTGCCGAGCATGCGCACAAAAAAAGTGGGTACACTAGTTACGTATCTGTATGTCTCTACTCTGTGTTCACACGCTCTTTTTATATACAAAAGTGTCGTGATCTGTTGGCTCGCGTCATTTGAAATTTAATTAAACGGCACATCAACCACGTCATTTCAAACGTAGTGAAGTGATTCCAATTAACGCGCGCGCATCCAAGACAAGAGAAATTAATTTTGCACATTAAAGAGAGCACGCCACGTACTATCTAGTGGCTTTCCCTCCTGATCTATAGTATTGTGCTTCTCGATTTCAATTGACTCTCTCATTTTGCGAGAGAACTTATGACTATCAATCGCCAAAATGGTTGCTTCGCGACGCGAGCCAACGGATCACGACACTCTTGTATATAAAAAGAGCGTGTGAATTAAACAAGTCACATATTATTAGCACTGATGAAGATCCGGGCTTACTGATCGAAAGCTTTGCAGTAATAAATTTACGTGGTGTTTCCACAAACAAAACAATTATATTTTATCGCCATGCAAACATTCAAAGAACTGAAATACAAATGTTGGCATATTATTCTAATTCAGTTCAAAGAAATGTTTCCTGTCATTAAACTTCACACGCATTTACAATAGTATTCCGAACCGATTTATATCAGTCATACCGTTCGTATACTGTAATTATTAATTCCCCTCCTCTTGAAGTCTGACATCAGTGCCAGATAATTCGGTATTTCCACAACTGACTTGTGTAATAGTCCCACTGAATCCACTGATCTGAGTTGTCCAGAACAATAAACATTCGGCAGCTTCAAGAGTGCGATTTTAATGTTTGTACATCCCCATTCGATGGCAAAACATTACAGGAGCCAGGAGACATTGCTTGTTAATTGGCCAAATAACTTTTGTAAAACATGAAAACTTTAAGCACACACTTCGCTCCTTCGTTCGAAAATTGCAAACGGAATATATAATTAGGGTGCAAAAACCTACTTAGAGGACCCTGGTCATGTATGACGTCCACTTAGGTCTGATGAGAGGTCCACTTTGCGTGATTTATTGCAGGCATCTCACCAGAATTTTTTTTTTCTGCCCGACACAGCTGACCAAAACCCGATATTAACAATTCAATAATACCATTAGAGATTACTGCGGTGGAGGCTAGGTCTTCACATCAAACATTGATTTTTTTCTATATTTTTCAGGTATTTCCATAACAAAGACTTCTAAGCTATTTAATAATTTCTTGCTTCATAACATGTGCAATAGTTATAAAATAGCTTATATATTTCTTAATATATAAAACACACCACTTTCATCTTGTCAGCTTAAGAAGCTTTGCGATACATTAGTGTGTATGCACATGTCAAAGATGAGGTTTTGCAGCGCAAGTTTCATGCACAGTTTGTAAATGTTTACTTTATCTGGTACGTGATCAGTACTTATCTGAAGGGTTTTGTTTTGTAAAACATGAAAACTTCGACGCAATATATAAAGACATTTTCACAAAGTTTAAGCACATACTTCGCTCCTTCGTTCGAAAATTGCAAACGGAATATACTGTAATTAGGGTGCAAAAACCTACTTAGGGGACCCTGGTCATGTATGACGTCCACTTAGGTCTGATGAGAGGTCCACTTTGCGCGATTTATTGCAAGCATCTCACCAGAATTTTTTTTCTCTGCCCGACACAGCTGACCAAAACCCGATATAAACAATTCAATAATACCATTAGAGATTACTGCGGAGGAGGCTAGGTCTTCACATCAAACATTGATTTTTTTCTATATTTTTGAGGTATTTCCATAACAAAGACTTCTAAGCTATTTAATAATTTCTTGCTTCATAACATGTGCAATAGTTATAAAATAGCTTATATATTTCTTAATATATAAAACACACCACTTTCATCTTGTCAGCTTAAAACGCTTTGTGATACATTAGTGTGTATGCACATGTCAAAGATGAAGTTTTGCAGCGCAAGTTTCATGCACAGTTTGTAAATGTTTACTTTATCTGGTACGTGATCAGTACTTATCTGAAGGGTTTTGTTTTGGTTCCTCTGTTGGTAGATCCTCTTGTGCACAAACACTTGATTCGATGCATTCGTAATAAGCTTTACCTGCTCTGTTGAGCGAGGTACTGAATCCCACGTTTGTGTACACAAGTACTTAGGGACCAACTACACTTTCCTCAATTTTCTGCAAATCAGTAAAATTGCGCTCTTACAAATAACGTAGTAATTTAGCCTGCTATTTCTTCTACGCAACTATACCTGTATTTAGTTAGTTAACTTTAGTTTTACATAAGAACATTGGTTTGAAAATGAACTACGTACTATGGACAGAGTGAAGTGCTGACTAGCTGTAGTCTGGGACTGAGTTAACGTTGATCAGCTCCGATTGGTTGTACTTAGGTAAACAGAATTAATGAACATAGAAAGCATAAAAAGGCGTTCTCTCTCGTACTCTATGGAGAGACGAGTTGAAGCTGTGAAGAGTAAAGACTGATTGAAGAGAACAAATTTTTGTAAATTATTTTTTGTTGGAAAGTTCTTCTGGAAGTGCACTGAAGAAAGCTATGGCATCTTACAAACATGGTATAAACCTCTTCCATTTAATATTGTTGGCGGAACTGTTCTTAGCTTTTAGCGAAAGCAAAGCTGATGGTGCAAAGTTGAGGTAAATCAATTTTAATATAGAAATTTTACTCGAAAGGAATATTTTCAGCGTGTTTCTTGTTTTTCAACTGTTCGAATAAATGCTTAACGAAGTTAATATTGTGACTGATTCACATTCCTTTCTTTTCTTTACCTTTCTCACATTATTTATCTTATCCCACATTTCAACACTAGCAGCCAATTAGAAGGGAAATCTCCACGTCGCGGACCTCTAGGCCAATTACTTGGACAAGATGGTAAGCAATGTCTTTGATTTTAGTAGAATTTTTCCGAAAGCCGTTCTCTGAAACGTACACGTCCTATACGTAATATTACGTGAATGCGCACATACTATATACTCAGGCTCTATTATCCAGAAAATGTTACTGAGCACGCGATGGAAAACTAAATATGTACCAAGGAGTAGCCGTGTTGTAAGTACTCGTTACTGAAGTAACGCGTTGCTAATTTCTAATTACTTTGTGAGTATTTTCACAGTAACTAATTACTTCTTGTACCAAAGTAATTTGTAACGTAATTAATAGAGACCTTACGATTTAAGACGGCAACGCGACGGGGACGGCTATAAATACAATGGAATTTACTGTAGTTAAGAAAAGAAATGAATAATTAATATCCCACGAGAGTTTTAGACGTTGTCCTCGCTCTTGTTTACAACGGTAAACTGCAGATTTATACGTTTTTTGTGCGACGTCTTCATTTCAAGCCGCGAGAAGCGGTACCTAGCAAATTAGCTCAGTATCGAGGCAGAAATTGTTTCAACCAGAAAGCCCTTAGAAAAAGTTTTAGATTCATATGATTGATAATACATAACAAGCTCTTTTTATAATCACTTATTTGAATGCGTTTGTTTTTGCCGCTGTCGTTCTCGTCTTACATCGTAAGGTATCTATTTACTTTTTGAAGGAAACGAGTAAAACAAGGTAACGTTGCTTTAATTTTCCCTAAGATAACGTAGAGCCGAAAGGAGCAATATGAATTTTTTTTGGAATTTTCTTCTTTGCAGCCCCAGTTGCTCATATTGACAACGGAATACTGAATGGAAAAGAAGAGGACTCGCACAATCCAAAAAAACGAATCGTAGCCGCTACTGCGGCAGTCGTTTCAGCCGGAGCCGTGACCATAAGTGCTTTGATAGCTGCCGTCAATGCAATTGGAAATGTTCAACGAAAGATTTCGATCGGCATTACAAATGACGGGCGTTACCAGTTTGAAGCTCTCAACACATATTTTTTCTCCGGAACATCTGACCAAGTACTACCAAATTACGTCCCTCCCAACAAGGGCGTAATTTATACAGCAAGAAAAACCAGTGGAGCTGCAACGGGAGCGGTTGGTGTAATCTCTTTCTACATAACAAACGAAGATATAACCCTTTGTGTTCTCTTCAGCGTACCCTATGATTACAATTTGTATTCGAACTGGTGGAATGCGAAGGTTTATCAGGGCAAGAAATACGCAAATTACAACGCCTACAATGATCTCTATTATAGCAGCAGCCCGTTTAAAGGAGATAATCGGTATCATTCTAAAAGCCTTGGTTGGCACTACACGGCAAAAGGTGTCATGAGTAGTTCAGGAACAGGCTACCTACAACTAAGTGTAAAGAAACAGTGAAACTTATATCGTTTCCTCAAAACCTTTTTACTTTAATCCAGCAATGTATCCGTTATTCTGTTTAGTGATAGTGTGAACAAGAAAGAACGTTTAAGGATTTGAACAAATCCTTAAACGGCAATCAATTGGTAAATAAAATACAATTAATTTGCTCACCATGTGTTGTGTTGGTTTCTTTTTTCATAAAAGACGAAAAATAATTCTGCAACTACAAATATTAATGAGGTTAGAAACTAATCGTTCACTTTTTGAAACGTCGTATTTTCGACCATACGGATGAAGTCCACTCCAAAACTTTTTAATTCATTAAGGTGGTCTTACACGTCATAAAACAATTTTGGTCTATAATTGATCTAAAATCAAAATCTACCAAAATGATGTTGTTGGAGGTGTTCACCCATCTATAAGTATAATTTCTTTTCCTTGATTGTTTCCATGGTAACCGAGATAAGCCACGCCCATGGAAAAATAAGGAACATTTACAAACATTATTATTATTATTATTTATTATTATTTATTATTATTTATTATTATTTAATCTTATTTAATCACAGTAGCCTTTCAGAAGTACATCTGTTTTTCAAAGGGCCGTGAGTTCATTAAAATATTTACATAATTGGAGAGAGAAAAAAAAAGAAATCTAAAAGCGAGAAAAACAGGCCACTTACATAAACTATTTACATGGATGCAATTCATTACACTATAGATTAGGACCAATGGATTAGGACATACGTTTTATGACATTCTTAAAGGAGTTGACAGAGACATCTTCTATTAATGCTTGATCAATAATATGATTAGGTAGGTGATGATAACTTGGAAACAAATTATGATGGAAGTCTGACATAACTTTTAATTTGTTACTTATAACAGTGTCTAGGGAGATGAACTAGAATCATTTCTCTACTGTAAATAGCAGGGGCCGTTTTCTAGTTAAATAGTAGTTAACTGTAAAATTCGCGATTTTGATTGGTTAACTTTCGCACTAACTATAGTTAACTTTAATTACATTTTTATACAACCGACCCCAGAGCTATAAAGAACATTTACCATTCCGAATGCTAAGATTGCATACAATCGTGTAACTGAAACAGTGACTGTTCTGCGAAAACTAAACAGAATTGAACATTTTTTGTTGTTGAACATTGAACATTTATTTAAACACGGTAAAATCTTCAGTACTATTTACAATAAATCTAACATCTACTAAATTAAATTTGATACTAAACACTATATATAAGATACATGCACTGATTCCAAGATTGCCGTGTTGGAATCCCATTGTGGTGGCTAAAAAAAGAATCGATTAATTTCATTTATGAATTAGCTGTACGTGCAGAGTGGAGTAGCGTGTTCCATAACCATGCCCCACTATAGCAAAAACTACGCTTCAAATACTCCGTTTTTGGTTTTGGTAAATTCAGCTTCATTTCAGTATTTCTTAAGTTATAGTCTGTGCTGCAAAACGAGAACAAATTTTCCAAATACTAATTTATTGTTTTGTACATCAATATAGATTTGTGCTTGTTCCTACGTAGTGATAGGTTGTCCCAATGCAGCTTCTCTAAGAGAATACTAGAACTGACATTGTAATGTTTGTATTTTTTATTAATGTTGTATTAAATTCATCCCAAACAGGGCTACAATAATCAAAGTGAGGTTGAATTATTGCATTGTATATTTCGATTGCAGTTTGGATTGATATATAGGGTCGTATTCGTTTAAGAGCACCTATAGCGGAAGAAATTTTTTTACATTTCATATCAATGTGCTTTGACCAAGAAAGATTTTTGTCAATTATTAGACCTAGTGATTTAACTTCGTCAACTTGTTTGATTACATTGCCATCAAGGTCAATATTGATGTTTTCGTTGGAATGAGCATGTATACGTTGGCGGGATCCAATTATCATAAATTCTGTCCTGTCTTTTAGTTCTGAATTAATTACTTTTTCAAGTTCGGACAATGTATTAGTCGCATAACTAATGTTCGTATCATCGGCGAACATTCTCGGTGAAGCTGCACTGAGACAATTAGGGAGGTCATTAATATAAACAAGAAAAAGAAGGGATCCTAAGTTACTGCCCACCTTATATAAGTAGCTGGTACAGAGGATGACAAGCAACCGTTTACATTGAATTTTTGAGATCGACCAGTTAGATATAGGATTGAAACCATTTGAGACTTGTCTGATCCACACCGTTATAATTTTGAAGCTTCCGCAATAATATATTATAGTCAATAGTATCAAAGGCCTTTTTGAGGTCAATAAATATTACTCCATTGAAAGGGCCATTGTCTATGTTGACTGACCAGTTACTAGTAGCTTCGAGGAGAGCAGTAAGTGTACTATGTAGGGACCTGAATCCCGACTGGCAATGCGTCAATAAGCGGTTTCTACTGAAATAGTTATAAAGTTGTTCGAAAATTACTTTTTTAAAAATTTTAGCAACAGCTGGAATATTATAAATGATATTGGTCGATAGTTGTTCGGATCGTTCTTTTTGCCTTCCTTTTCCATTCAGATGGAAAAATGCCAGTACTAATTGATTTGGCAAATATTTCGGTTAGTGATGGTGAGATTATTTCTGCCGCTATCTTTATAAGTTTATTAGGAATATTATCTAGACCAGGGGCCGGTTGTACGAAAGGCGTTTAAGTCGCTATCCACCGTTTAACTCCCTATCCACCGGATAAAATTTAAACGCTCGAGAAATCGCGTTGTACGAAGCCCGTTTAGGGCTATCCACCGGTTAAATTTCGCCTATCCACCGTGTAAACTTAAACGGTCTCTTGAGACCGTTCTTGGAGACCGTTTAAGAGCAATCTCGTTCCCCGAGCCTGCGATCCTTGGGAAGGAAACGAAGGCTCTGGGATAATCCATGTCAGAAATGAATTAGCCTGCATAGCAGGCGGTACTTAGGAAATACCGCCTGCCGCAAAACTGGGTGTAAATGAACTACCGCCCCTGAAGCATCAACGCTATTTATAGATGCATTAATTAAGTAAATATTCAAAATTAGCCACTCCCAAGCTGCTCCCAAGTCCCAACTGCCCAACATAAAATTAATTCCTTGATTCTCATCACCGCCCGACTGAATTTTAAAATCCTCGTGAAAACGTTTTATATTTTGTTACACAATATAAATGTACCGCATTTTTGTTTCCTTCAATCTTTTGTGGTATATGCTAAAATAATTATCACTTAGTGTCGGTGAATAATTTTTAAATAGTCGCCTTAAATAATCGTTGCACAATTGATAATTCCCCTTATTACGTTTTCGTAGCGCTTTGCATTGTGGTTATAGTAGTATCACTGATATTCAAGATGGCTTATTTTTTGTCCTGACCGTGCAAGAACTTTTAAAAAAGCTAGGGTCAGGTGCGCGATAGCCAACAGCAAAATATTCGCGAAAACATTCAATATTTTCATTCGAGGCCGCTATTTTTATCAGTGATACCACTATAACCACAATGCAAAGCGCTTCGAAAACGTAATAAGGGAATCATCAATTCACCTCCACTTTGGTGAATAAATCATCGTACGCGTAAAATATTACCCACTTCTTGTTGGAAATAACTTAAATATTGCGTTGAGTTCAACACTGAAATTTTTCTTTGATATATGTAGGATGTGAAGATCGTAAATCGTATCACGGCTGACGAAAATAAGAAAATTGAGCGAGTTATTCCCAAGTCTGGTGACGACTTCATAGCAGAAGTTGTTAATGTATTTTGTTATCATATGTGGACAGGATTGCTGTCATAACGAATGTGTGTGAGGTTTGAAGAAAGAGAACAGTTGGTCTGTGTGGTGTTGGCAATACAAGAGCCATGATTAGAAGGGAATCCACAAAAACTGATAAAAGACTGGATGATTTTTAAATGTGAAATTTTGTACTAATGAATTAAATCAAATAATCACCATCAACCCGTGTTGAAAAGTCACTAGTATATTCGCACCAGGCTTGAATGCCCTAGGTTATTACGTCATCGGCATCTGACCAGTGACTGGTAGAGCGTTCATTAATCAATGACAATGAACTACGTTTTAGATTTAATTATTGTAGTATATTGCCATGTCAAGCGTCATGATATTACTCATAATATTGTAGTGGAAGATCAAACTTGTTACTTTGCAAAGGAATATTGAGTATTAAGGGCACAGCACAAAAACTGGAACCCAGGTATTGATGAATACGTAAAATGATTGTTTTTATACATAGCGGATTAATTGTGAAGATATTAATAGCGGTAAAAGAAATATTTTATGATGTAATAATCAAAGAAAATAAATATTGTAAAATGCGACTCTAGAACTTGTATCTACACACGTTTCTGCTCTCCATACCATGCCACAAAGAGCGTCTGCAAAGGGCCTAGTCGAGATGGACTTATAAGCGCAGTGGCGGACATGCACTTCGTGAGCGAGGGGGAGGCGAATTAGGTTGCCATCATATATGACCACCACCACATTTTAATTCTTTAAACTTTGTTGCCTTAAATTCCATAGAATATAGGCTTAATTTATACCCTGCAAAATAGTGGTTTCAGGGGTAACTTCCCTCCCTTGCCCTAGTGTCCGCCACTGCCTATAGTCCTTCCCTTATTTTGTCCTTCCCTTATTTTGTACAATCTGGAAGGGGGAAATGTAGACAAGAAACTCAAATTTGTGATGTGGTCAACCTAAAACCGCCGTTGAACGTTTGTTTCTTCTGCATTAATTAGAATCATTCTGCATTATTTTTTCTGCATTAGAAGCCATGGTTTTAAAAGCAGAGAAGATACTGTGGCAGAGTTGCATGGTGTCGTACAGTCTAAATATCAAGCTGTTATTAAAATTTTCGTGATTTGTCGAGCTTTTGACAAGCACCATAGCAAGGCTGCAGAAATGTGTGCACCATAAAGGCGGTTTTCCACTAGGCGAAATTTTTCGACCGAATCGAAATTTCTCTTTGTTAAAATGAGCCCTCAAGCAGAACTAATTGTAAAAAGACAAAGAGAAATTTCGTTTCGGTCGAAAAACTCCTAAGCTGCGCGAAACATGAGGAGATAACAAAATAAATAGAAGTGTAAGAATCGGGCAAGTTTGTAAAACTATATGCAGTAAATGGCAAAGTAATGAAAAGTAATAAAATGGGTAAACATGCTGTTCAGTGGTGTCTATAGCCTGAACGCCCGCCCTTTTCTCTGCGCGCCGTTCTCCCACCCTAATTTTCCCGCCCGCGAGTCCTCCCCCAAGTACAGTTATTTTAATAGATGGCTTGGAGACCCGATGAAAGTACAATGTAACTCATGAACTATGTTATTGTCCAGCTTTATGCTTTGGTCCTATCACGTCACGTGTGTATTGTATTTTCGCTCAAATAACCAATAACAAGTTTGTGGTTGAGTTATCCATCCGTAACTTGGACAAATGCTCAATTTAAACATTGCTATTGGTTGTGCGGGAAAAAATACAATACACACGTGACGAGATAGGCCCAAATTCTTGCATAAACCGAAACCAGTATAGTTAATGAGTTGTATTGTACTTCCATCGTGTCTCCAAACCACGTATTCTTTTAACTGTGTACCAGGCTATCGTGTCTAGTTATATTCACAATGCATACATCGTTTAATAAATTTAATATGTTTAAAATTAGTAGACATGTTGTATCGTTTTGTATTCTAAGACGTTTTTCCAGTTAAGCGTGTTTTGTACGTACGTGCGTATACGCAAAGAAAGTTGAAATCTTTTTAGATGCTACTTATGAAATAGCTAAATAAATAAAAGAACAACAATTACAGTAGTTTTCTGTACCATTCAATGTGTATTTGTTCAGTATATAATGGGTATTTGTCCTGTATAAAATTTACAAATATAACAAAACAGAGCGCTTACAAAAATCACACATGCATGAGAATAGACCTTTCCAAGGTTAACGACGCCATCTTGAATCCATTGTTTTCACCATTGTGTTTGCACCCCCTGCAAATTTACCTATAGGGAATTCCATTGTGTTTGTACCCCTTGCACTATTGTGTTTCATTATGGCGTCGTTAACCTTGGAAAGGTCTATTACACGATCGGCTGATAGATTAATTATATTGCCGGGATGAAGCCATTTAAGTGCTTGACGTCATATTTCTTGCAGAAAAGGCATTTACGCATGCTCAATGGAAAAGTTTATCCCGCCTAGCCGGGATGAAGTGTTTATAGGGGAATTTTTCATCTCGCTTAGGCGAGATAAGTGTGATAATATCATGATTGCGGGTATTCCCTTTGTTCTCGCAGGGCAATTAATAACTAATACACCTCATTATATTCATTTTTTCTAATCCTACCCGCTTTTACGTCATGTCAGGTAGAATTAGTTGTAATCCTACCCGAAACGACGTCAAAGCGGGTACGATTAGAAAAAATGAATATATCTGAAATCGCCAAAACTAAACAAAGACATGGAAAACAATTATACCATTTAATTTATACCATTATTTATTGTTAATTTGTTTTTAATGGCCCTGCGAGAGCAACGGGAATACCCGCAATCATGATATTACAAGGTAATAGCATAGAAAGAGGCGAATTAGCTATTGAAAACGTCCCGCCCGATGAGGGTCGTTTAGTAAAATTCCCTTGAGCGCCGCTCGATTCGGGTCATTTAGTAAAATTCCCTCGGGCCTTCGGCCCTCGGGAATTTTACTAAATGACCCTCATCGAGCGGCGCCCAAAGGAATTTTACTAAACGACCCTCATCGGGCGGGACGTTTTAATAGCTAATTCGCCTCTTTCTATGCTATTACTTATAATTATTCTACTTGAGTAAGCACGGCCGGTTGGAAAGTCATCTAGCTTTTTTTTATATTGTGTACATAATTATTTCTCATTAGGTGAAATTGTACCGTGTTAAAATATTGTTCATAATAATAATTTCAACTTTCCCGTATGAAAAACGCTTAGCTGGAAAGCAGCCTTTCGTTTCTCAGATTCTACGATTTCTTTTTTATTTTATCAGCAACAGCGCAGTACTCCTTATACTGTCGAAAATTGGAGTAAATGAAAAACAGCAAGAAATGTCCACACGAATACATCGAGATTAATAGAGGGAAAATGTCTGGATACTTTCTCGGAGGTACAATCAGATGACTGACGACATGTAGCAGAATACAACACGCAATGGACGAGAAAAACTAAATAAACGAAAGAATAATGAATTAGTTCAATGAATGATATTAGGCGACTCCTCATTACTCTTCCGAAATCGACGACGATTAGATTTACACATACCAAGAATTTTATAGTTGTTGGTGTACGTTTAAGATCCAGATGGAATGAGAAAGCGAGAAGCAAAAATAGGAGCATACATGGAATGTAGGCTAAGAGCAGTCCGTCTTTTTCCAGTAAGGGTATCATGCTATAGAACAAATAGAACATTTAGTACACCTAGTAACACCTAAAATATTAGAATCAGTATACTGGGCACCTATTACGTACTTCCCCACCAATCTCGTACCCAGAGCATACCCGTTCCCAGGTGCCCAAGCCAGATTTCGTCCCCAGTTGAAAGCAATAAAAGGAGGGGGGATAAAAAGAAAACAATTAAATGAGCACACAAGACTCTGCAGCTTTTGAACTTTCTTCCTATATCTCTTTAAAGTCATTTTCTTCCCCCAAACACTTTCTTCAAAACGAGACCTACAGGCCTGTTTACTTCGCAATGTAAACTGGTCTTACCTGAACAACGTTATAAATAAGAACCATATCGTTTCCAGGGGTTGCAATGGCAATAGCAAGCTAGCAGGCCTAAATATGAAACAAATTTAATGTAAAATGCACAGAATATACTAGATATATATCTTTCATATACAATTATATATATATATACAGTAAATAAATTCTACGAACTGAATGCACTGTACAGTTTATCACTAGCATGTTGACTGAGATCAAAGTTTGGAAAACTTACAAGGTAACAAGGAGGATAGACTTTTCATGAACATGATAGGAAAAGAGAAAGAACGCCAGAGATGAATTCACCTATATAAATGAAAGTGATTGAGAAAACATAAAAAAATCTTTTTAACCAGTTTCCCTAAAAACAATCTTCGGAAAATTTAAAGCATGACGATTTTCGAAAAATTCGAACATTAGCTAAATGCGATGTTGCACTGTATGGATATTAGCGTTCGTTAATAAATTCCAAATTTTCAATCATACCAAACTACCATGAGATATGCCCAATGGTGTAGAACTGAAACGACAACAAGGGGGCTCTCAAAGGAGAAGGAGTGGGAAGACGCGGAGGGTGCAATACGATAAACATGGAAAGTTCCATATTTTGGTTACAGTTGCTAAGAACTTTTCAGGTTATGATTATGCAATCTGCAAAAATATTGGGAGGTCAGCTTCCCAAATCGACGTGAAATTTTTAACAAGCCTGGGAAGGGGGCCCTCAGCCACCCTGAGTCTGAGTCCCCCCTCAGTCATAACTTGTAATCTACGTTTTTTGTAAATACTTCTAGTTACACTACCCCACAAGCTTCAGAGCCCTTCAGATGAACTTTTGCTTTTGGAAAAAAAAGCTAAATACCATCACACGTGTATATGCTTGTAGTATAATAAATCCATACAGGAAATCATGTACTCAACCTACCCAGCCCAGGCTCTCCCTAGTACGTAATTTATGAAGTTGGATATATATAATGTAGTAATATACTCACGAGAGCAAGTAAGAATGACTTTGGTGATGGACGCAAGGCTAACATGAGATTGGATGGTAAAACGAAAGCCACTGTTGAACAACCACTACAGAAAAAGTTATAAAAATATATTGTATTTTTTACGTGAAAGTATTTTTATGAATCTACTTCAAATACATGACCAAAATAATTATATACTGTGAGCACATACCAAATTTTTACCAAAGTAGTTGTAGAAAATATATCCTTAAATTTTATTAAGATAGAGAGAGAACACCAAACATTTGCCACCTTGTCCTGTACACAGAAATAGTAAATTAAATATTTGTAATTGTAGTGATTTGTAAATGATTTATTCGACGTCATAGGATATAGTTGCCCATTCATCCGCGCCAGAGGCCATGGTAAAAGTGGATCCAGGACACAAATTAATAACATTTATTACACTTAACCAGGAGCAGTCAAAAATACAACTACAGCCCCTCTGGCAGGAATAGAACCAGCGACCCTGCGATTCCGGTGCAGCGCTCTAACCAGTTCATGTATATATACTAAGGTGATGCCAATGTAAGGTTATGGGATTTACATCGACTATCCGACTCTTCAA